TGTAGCTCAGAGACAGCATGCTTGTCTAGGGGGAGGAGGAGGCACAAGGTCCTGTCTTCAACCTCAGCACTGCAAAGCATGAACAAAAGCCATCGCTGTGTGAAGTGAAATGGCAATACATGAAGTAGCAAATGTGCCGAGAGCAAGAGTGCGGGTGAGACTGGTAAGCCCCGGACAGGGTCTCCTGCACTCGGTAAGCCCCGGATACCATCTCGAGCACTCGGGGGCTTGTTCGATTAGTCTTTATACTATAACTATATATACTGTTAGTTAGGACATAATTAATATTGGTGATATAACTAATACCAAAGGCATGTTTTTGATTAATGGTTACTCCAATGTGTTAAAATCCAGCTTTTGCTGGGCAGTGGTGGCGCACTCCTTTAATCCCAGCACTCAGGAGGCAGAGGCAGGCAGATCTCTGTGAGTTTGGGGCCAGCCTGGTCTACAGGAGCTAGTTCCAGGACAACCAGGGCTGTTACACAGACAAACCCTGTCTTGAAACGCCTCCCCCCCCAAAAAAATTCAGCTTTCGCTGAAAGTGTAGGTTCACAGGCAGATCTCTGTGAGTTTGAGGCCAGATTGGTCTACAGAGCTAGTTACAGGACAGCCAAAGTGATTACACAGAGAAACTCTGTCTTGAAAAAAAAAAGAAAGAGAGAGAGAGAGAGAGAGAGAGAGAGAGAGAGAGAGAGAGGAAAAGAAAAGAAACTGTAGGTCCTTCTATCTCCAGCAAGGCCCTCATCTTCATGTCTGTACGAATTAATCTGGGGGAAATGCTTCAAGAAGAGAAGGTACCTGAAGGTACATGTGAGAGGTAGAGGCACCTGGTACTGGCAGAAAGGAGGCTGGTGTCCCCCGCAGGGTGGGCTTTGCAATAATGGCGGTCCTGTGGAAGGCTCCCTTTGGGCCGTCGTGTAACTGATAGGCGTGGTCCCATTTAATCCTCACAACAGTCTGGTGTGTTGGGGAGTAACGGCAGGCTTACTCACACATAGGGAACTGTAGACCAGGAAAGATATAACTTATGAGAGGCCTGCAGCTAGAAAGGGATGATCCGGGTCTGGGCCCTGTCTGCCTTGCCCGGGAGTCTTGATGTCTGAGTGTTGCTTAGGATGGTTTGAATGCAGACTCTTAGGATGGGGTGAGTTTGGGGAAGGCAGAGGAAAGCTGAGGACCTGAGGTTCTTTATTCAGAGCCCTTCTCCTCCACACACTTTCATTCTCTCTGCCTTCCTTTCTTTTGTCCCTTCTCTTCCATCAATTGAGACAGTTGATTTATTTATGATTTGTCTTCGGTTTAAATCAAGTTGGGCATTTTAAATTTATTTGAAAACAGTTGTAAATACCCCACACTTATGTAAAGCCTTTAATTGAACCTTCTCTGAGTCCAGACTCCTTATTAGAAAAACGAAACAAAACAAACAGAAAACCAAATTCCTTATTAACAAAAAATGACCATCTGTCGGGCACTTGTGGCTGACGGTGAACAGTACCTGCCTGTGCTGCCTTGTTATCACCAGGGGGCAGCAGAGAGCCCCAGAGAACGGCATTAAACTGCACACAGTAGCCACAAATCCTTTCCAGTTGCCGGAAATTCATCCTAATCTGATTTGTTTTTCCCCTGAGTTTGAAACTCTGGCTTAGAAACTGTTTCAGCTGTTGCTTAGGAGACATTTTATCCAAAGGAGCCGAAGGCCACTCCGATATAAGTGGTAAAGAACCTTTGACAACATCTATTGCTTTTAAACCACTCTGACTTCTAATTAAAACCATTACTTTTGAAGTTATGTTAAACCCCAAAAGACTGTTTTAAGAAAGTCCTACAGTTTAACTTTTGAAATGCTACATTGAGCATATGCTGAGAGATCCTCCTGGTTCCCCATCCAGGTTGCAGAAAGGTCCTCTGGGTGGAGCGGAGCCTGCAATTCCGCCAGCGGTTGGTAGGAGCTCCTGGTGCAGATGGGGAGGGGCTGCTAGCATTGCCCTGGAAAACCACAATCATTTGGGGAACTGGCTATTTCAAACAGGCCAAGTTTGCATTGTGATAATAATATGCACATTTGATTAGCTGGTTAATGTTTGGATACTTAGCGCAGTGAGTCTCAATGAGAAGAGATTTTTGTTCCCAGGACACATTTGGCAGGCAGGAAGCATTTTTAACTGTCACAAACAGAGAGAGCCTTCTTGCCTCTGCTAGCTGGTGGCCAGGCATCATGCTAAACACTTTACTACACATGGCAGTTCCCAGTTCCAGCTTCCAACACATGCAACACAGAATTGTTGCTCAAGAGGTTAAGAAACCCTGACACAAATCTAGGCTGGGTGGTGTATCCCAGGGCTCGAGATACTGAGATGAGGAAGTCTTCAAGTTCAGTGGCCGGTTTGGCTATACAAAGATGTCAAGGCTAGCCTGGACTACACCACAAGACTTTGTCTCAAAAAGGAGAAAAATAAGCTGAGTGTGGTGGCTCACACCTTCAATCCCAGCAGCTGGTTCTTGGGAGGCAGAGTAAGTGGATCTCTGAGTTCCAGTCCAGACTGCTCTATAGAGTGATTTCCAGGACAACCAGGGCTACACAGAGAAATCCTGTCTTGAAAAACAAAAACAAAAACAAAAACAAAAAAAAAAAAAAGGAAAAGAACGAAATGAAACTCTGATGTATAAGAACATAGACTAATTCAGTTGCCCAGTCTTGGGTTCCAGAACCTTGATTCTAGCTATTATTTTGAGGTTTTCATGTGGTAAACACTAAGGCTTCATTGGGCTGACTTGCTTAATGGCCACAACAACCCTACCTTCTAGCCTAGATTTTATGAACGGAGGTTTATAGATATTGGAAACGATCATTGTACTTGAATCTGGCGGAGCTGCGATTGAAACCCAGGCAGCAAGAGTTCAGAGTCTACAGTTGAGCAGCAGGTAAATGCCTCTCCTATGTGAATCAATAGATGATCACAGCTCATGGCCACATGGCAACTCAAGTTCCTGAGGAAAGTTCCTGGTACAGTATGACCTGAGTCTCTTCCAAGCATTCGTGTAGCGGTCAGAGGGCAGTTTCAGCAGTGTGTTCTCTCCTTCCACTACATAGATTTGGGGAACTGAACCAGGGAGCTGGGATTGACTGCAGGAGCCTTATTTGCTGAGAAATTTCAATACCTCAGTTTTTACTTTTGGACATAAAATTGTTATTATCTGATGCCTGAAAGTATATCGTTGTGAATGTATATTCAGAGGCTGGGAACACAGCTCAATGGCAGAATGGATGCTTAGCAGGTAGAAATCTGAGGAAACTCCCCAGCAACACACACACACACACACACACACACACACACACACAGACACACACACATACATACACACATACACACACAGACACATACAGACACACATACAGAGACACACAGAGAGACACATACAGACACACACACACATACAGACACACACACACACATACACATAAAGAACTGAGAACTAAGGGCTGGGAATATGTCTATGGTAGAGCGCTTGCTTAACTTATACCCATAAACAGGCCCTGAGTTCAATCCCTGGCATGTATACATTCTCGGTATCAATAGTCCCATATCACTCTTACCTTTGTAGAATCAGGTTCAGTAGAAGAATAGGCCCCGTAAATTTTCAGGACTTCCTCAATTGGGATACTGTTCTGTGAAACAAAAACAATGTGTTGTCATATTGTGGCTTTTTCTTTATTAAAAAACAAAATTACTGCATCTATAATGGTTCTAGTACAGTGTAAGGTAACACAGCAACTCAGTAATAACTCCTAGATTATTGTGTAACCAAGTTTTCTAGACATTAATATCTCTCATCTTTTTTTCTTGGCTTCCATAAATATTTTTATACTTCGGTATGGAGGCCAAATTTTTATTACATATTTAAAATCACAAATTTTACTATTAGTAAATCCCAGGCATTTAGAATCAATATTGAAAACTTGTAAGTATACATTAGTACCAAAATGAGCTTAGAAATCCTGAAATAAAGCTGGGTGTGGCAGTGCACACCTTTGATTCAGGCACTAGGGAGGCAGAGACAGGTGGATTTCTGTGAGTTCAAGGCCAGCCTGGGCTACAGAGTAAGTTCTAGGACAGCTAGGGCTACACAGAGAAACCCTGTCTTGAAAATGAAAATAACAACAAAGAAAAAAACCAGAGTGTCCACATAGAGAGTTCTCTTTTCCTCACCATTAAGACTCCGGCGTAAGATGATAAGATCACTGCTTCGCGCTCTCTTCGGTTTGGATACAAGGGTCTGCCGTGAAGTGGCGCTTTCCTAAGGGGAAATATGGATAGAGAAGGTTGGGGTGTTCATGTGTGTATGGAGGACAGAGGCCAGCTTCGGGTGATTCCCCTGGACCCATCCACCTTGGTTTCTGAGTCAGGGTCTTTCATGGGACCTGCGCTCACCATGTAGGCGAGGCTGCCAGCAGACACCAGGGAGCCACATCTTTGCCTCTTTAGTGCTGTGATTATAACTTTATGCCAGTATGCCCGGCATTTTATGTCGGTGCTGGGGGTCGAATTGTGCAGTAAGGCTGACTGAGCCATCTGTCTTCCAGGCTCCTATTGTTCTTTTTGATAGCTGCCAAGATGATACTAATCCATAGGTAACCAGCCATGGTTGTGGATTATCCACTTTTTTTAAAAAATTATTTATTTATTTATTATATATACAATATTCTATCTGTCTGCATGTCTGCAGACCAGAAGAGGGCACCAGACCTCATTACAGATGGTTGTGAGCCACTGTGTGGTTGCCGGGATCATGACCTTTGGAAGAGCAGGCAATGCTCTTAACCACTGAGCCATCTCTCCAGCCCCCTATCCACTCTTAAAGTAGGATTAATATGATTGATTTTCTGTTGATCTCCTTTTACTAAAGCTGTCACAAACGCTGACTGCCCCATGGGGGCCGATTATGGCTTTGCTAGCAGGTGTCCACCCTGCTTCTCATCGCCTGCTTGGGGGAACCTGCCTTACTTTACGGTAAGCTTACCTTTAGGAAGGCTGGGATACCCCTAGATTCTGGGAACGGGTCTGGCCAGTGTGTTCTATGTGCAGACAAATCAGGAAACAGAGACACTGAGACACATGCCACGTCTGCTTGTTGTTTGTTTAAATCTATCCTGGTTTGAACTGAACCTTGTTCTAAAGTGAGATGACAAGAATAGTGTCCACCCAGGAAAAGAGACTGGAGGTGGGATCTGGTAGCATCAGGTGAGGTTTAAAAAAGAAAACAGAAATGCATTGTGTGTGTGTGTGTGTGTGTGTGTGTGTGTGTGTGTGTGACACAGAGAGAGAGAGAGCTTAGAAGACAATATGAGGGAATTTGCTCTCTTTCCATCATGTAAGGCCCAGTTATTGAACTCCGATAGTCAATTTATTGGCAAATCCTTTGCCCCTGAGATTTAAATCACTGTGCCTAACAGTCCAGTTCACAAACTTGGAAGATATACAGGCAATCAAACTTGCCTCCCCGACCTTCTCTCCTCTTGATTTCTCATCTCCTCCCTCCTCCTTGCTCCTCTGTTAAGGTTGTTCAAACTGGATTTTCTTAACTGTGACCTTGAGCCAGGACTGCAGAATAGAACCGGTCTCTGGACTTTGGGATGAGCTATCTGATGACAGCCCCTTAGTTCCCTGTTCTGACCGGTTGAGTGTGTCTGCTGAGGAAAAGGCTGATAAGCTCGGAGGAAATGATCACACAGACTCAAGTACTTAGCTGCTTCTGTGCTCCAGAAACTGTGTAAGATGATGGTCCTTGGGCAGCAATTTCAGGCTCTACCCACAGAACTAACCATTGAGAGTCATAGCTCATATATAATACAGTGAAGTCATGGTTCTCCTATATAATACAGTGAAGTCATGCCTCACACAGGTAATACAGTGAAGTCATGCCTCACACAGGTAATACAGTGAAGTCATGCCTCACACAGGTAATACAGTGAAGTCATGATTCTCATGGGTAATACAGTGAAGTCATGCCTCTCATGGGTAATACAGTGAAGTCATGCCTCTCATGGGTAATACAGTGAAGTCATGCTTCTCAGAGAAAGCTTCCCATGCAAGATTATTTTTTTTAAACTTGACGGAAACCAATGATAAGAAATACAGACTAGGTGAGCACATCTACCATGTCCTCAAACTGCCCATGGAGTGTGTCTTCAGGCTTCTGGCTGGAGGAGAAGTTTGCCCTGTGTTTCTACATCAGAGAGCCTCATAACAAAACACGGGGCAGGGCTGGACCTTCCTCCATCACATTGTAAAAGGGAAAACTGCCCGGGCTGGGGAGTCCACTCAGTAGGTAAAGAACTGGTCTTGCACAAGCATGGGCCCTGTGTTTGGAGCCTTCTCTCATCATTCATGTAACCCACCCCCACCCCCCACCCCCGCCCCCAGCTTGTTGACACAGCCTGAATCCTAATGCTGGGGGATGGAGATGGGGCCAGGCGCTCTCTGGAGCTTGCTGGCTAGCTAGGCTTTCCGGTGGTGAGCTCCAGATTCAGTGGGAGACAGATGCTACTTCAAAACCTAATATGAAGAGAGACTGAGAAAGACACTGACATTGACCTCTGACCTCTGCATACACCCACATCCATGCACAGGAAGGTGTGTCCTTACCCACACTAAATAAACAGATAGATTAAAAAGAAAAACATCAAACGCATTTCAACTTACACTTTCTCCCACTGGAGCCAAGTTAAATCTTCTGAGGGATCTACCCATTGACAAGCAACACTGACGGCCAGGTCATAGTGGGCCTGGAAGCAGTAAAGAGAGAGTGGACGGTGTGGGTTCAGATTTTGGCAAAGCACTTCCCTGGACAATAGCCTCACTAAGCCCCAGCCTCTGGTCATGTTCCACTTAGGGAAGATCCTTATTTATAAACAGCCCGATGTTCAGTTAGGGATATTCCAGGACCCAGACATCTACTTTATCTGCCACTAAGCAGTTATGTGCTGTGTGTGGTCCGGAAAAGAGAGAACCCTCAACTGGCAGTTGGGGAATGTGGCCTTGCACCTGGCTTGCCAAGGGCTCAGGAATATTCCTGGGTGAGGCACTGATGAGGCTGGGCCTCCCTCTCCTTAGGGCTTAAAAAGGCAAAAGGAGAGAGTGGAGAAAGAAGGCCGTAAAGAACATTTGGTAGTCCTGTTTGGTGTTAGACCTGTACTCCCAGGGGACAGAGGAGGTGTGGGACCCTGGATGGAGGCACTGTGGTGCTCAGCTGAGGAGACGTAAACAATCCTGGCTGACTTTCACTGAGGAGGCAGTCTCAGGGCTAGAGCCTGTAGGAAAGGGGGTTTATACAAATGGAGAAGTTCACTCCAGGGGGGCACAGCATGAGCAATGGTCCAAACTGAGAGATAGGTGGAGAGCCTCATACCTGGTACAGAACTGAGGGTCAATTTTTGCACTGACTCTCTTCACAGCGGGGACCTTTCTGTAGGTTGTCTGTTAGCTCTTACTTAATAAGCGTGTTTACCGCTCAGTACCAACATTTCCTTTCCATCACGATAGCCAGGAAGGTGAAGGCTGGTCGGGGATTGGTTAAGGTTCTAAACATCCCTAAATAATGTAGTGATGCCCTCCAGGGACCTGAGTTAAGTAAATTGTCGCCCTAAATAATAAATCAGGGGTTTGGACCACGGTCACCTGGTGACACTTCATCAGGAGCTTGATGTTTGGACCAGTTACATGGTCGTGCTCATTAGAAATAGAAGCACTCGGCCCTACCCTGACCTCCAGAATCAAAATAGCTCTGTAATAAAACCTCATTAAAGTTTGAGAAGTTCTGCTCTGATCTGTTTAATGCCCTGTGTGATATGTGCACACAAAGCGGCAGGCTTAACTACAAACCCTGGCTTTACACAGAGGGAAACTGAGGAAAAGAGACTCATCCCTCTCAGCACAAGGATAGATCATGGGGGGGAGGAATGGGGGGGGGTGGTAAACTGAGTTTACTGATTTCTTTTGGATTAAATTTCTCTGTAGTTTCTTCTCTAATTTCTGTGTCATGAGCCAGCAGAACGTAACATGAGCCTGAACACAGTAAGAATAACGAAAAGGATTCTAGGGTCATGTATCACTTTGCCTTACTGCGCTGATGCAAACGATAGTAAGTGATTAGAGTTGAGAACTACCCTATTGCTAGTTCTGACAAGGTCTTTAACACGGCGAGTCAACGTTTTATCTCGCAGTAATTGGTTTAAATCTTTTCCCGCCTAGGTTTATTTTCATATTCTCTTTTTGCTTTCTATTTGGTGGGTAAAAATGATCATAGGGACAACCTTAGGTTGAGGAAAGCACAGGGAAGAGGACCGGGTGCCCACGTGCATGTGCGTGCGTGTGTGTGAGTGCGCATGCGCATGCTTGCGCACGTCCCGTGCGTGTGCACGTGTTAAGTTACACAGGCATTTGACCCCTGTTCCGGCCCCTTATTACATACAGAACGCAACGGGAGTTGCACCAGCAGGATACACTACCATCTCATCTAGAAAGGTGAGTTGGCCTCTTCCTTTTGGATCAAATTCATTTTCCCGAAGTCTGATGCCAATATACTCTCCCCTTGAAAGCAAGAGAGCAGCATTGAGCTTTGGGGAATGATATGGGGTTCTGTCTTCAGAAAGAGACTTTCTTCCCAGTCCCTCCCCCACCCCGATAAAAATGCAGCAGAAGTCATTGTTGGTCTAGGAGCTGTAACATTCAATATTGGCTTGGGGAGTGATCTCCAAAGGCTGCAGGTTTAAAACACCTGATGACAATGAACTTAAATCACATTTATCTTAATATTAAACTCATCGTTGGAAAGCAGGAAGGATGCAAAATGGCAACACATAGAAAAGATTTTTTTTTTTTTTTGTAAGAGGAGGGCTAAGCTCCCCGTATAATAAAATAAAAGATTTCCTGCTGGGCATTATAGTCCATGCCTTTAATCCAAGCAGGAGACAGAAGCAGATGCATCTCCTATGGGTGTTTATACTCTAAGACGAGGGGGCTATAGCATAACAGGATATATTTCTGTAATATTTCCCACAGAATGCACCAGCATTTGACATTATACCTGGAGTTAGCATAGAAATTGTCTGTCTATCTATCTATCTATCTATCTATCTATCTATCTATCTATCTATCTATCTATCTATCATCTGTTTGAGGCAGATGATACAGTCATGGCTGTTCTGGAACTCTGTAGACCAAACCAGCCTTGAACTCACAGAGACTGAGCTGCCTCCGCCTCCCATAGTGCTGGGATTGAAGACGCGCGCTTCTACACCTGCCAGAGTCACCATGCTTAACTACTGTTTGTGTTTTTTTGTTATAATGGCTCCAAACGCGTATGTGTAAACATGAGTGAATTCCATACATGTTTATCTGGCATTTCTTAAAGATTTAGTAGAAGGCGGTCGGTCATCTTTATAAGCAGACAATGGACATTTGATGAGAAAAAAAATACTGGGATTGTGGCAACAATACATACAAAATAAAATATGACCTCTTCTTGTTGTATGATCTGTGATTTTTCACCAACATTTTTTGAAATACCAGGTTAAAGAAAAACTGAGTGGGGTGGGGGAAATTTATGGGAAACTTGATCTTTTCTTTATTAGCCAAGAAAGTTTAGAAGTCAAGTTGTTAAGCGTGGCAATAGAAGCGGCAGAGGCCTGGCCCCAGGGCACATCTAGGCATCTGTATCTTTTGCGAGTAAGTGCTGCCCCTTGCGGTGGTGCATACTGTCCTCCGAGGCTGTGGGGAGCCTGCACGTGCACGCTGCTGCAGAAGTATTTGCCCAAGAGATTCTGCATCCTGCCCTGCACCGCATATGCCTGCATGGCAGAGACAGAGACCAGAGCGTCTGCTGGCTTTCTCCAGCAGAGCAGCGAGATCCCTCCTTAGCTTTCTGTGCACCCGCCAGCACCCAGGCCATCTATCTGGGCGATACTCACAGCAGCCTCTTCACCTCCTGCTTTACACGACTCTTTTCCATGGCGGAAGGCCAGGGCTGAGCGGATAGCTTGCGCTTCACCTGATAGCCTTTAGGAAGAGCAATTTCTGCAAGCCTAGAAATTACAGCAGCAAATCAGAGAGAACATGAATTAGGAACGCTGTTGCCACAAATACCAGTCATGGAGTCCGAGGCTGTGGAAGGGATCCAAGAGCATCCAGAATGCAGAACTCCCATCCAGCAAGTTCCAACTGAGAAAGGGACCTGGAGGCTATCCCTGGACCTTGTGCCCATCTGACAGCTTATTCCTTTCCAATTTTAATTACAGAAAATTATTAAGTAACTTAATTTTGTGTGTACATACGAGTGCAGGTGCACATTGCCGTGGCACAAGTGTGGAGGTCGAGAACAGCTGGCTTTCCCATGATGTCACCAAGAATGGAACTCAGGTCCTTAGGCCTGAGTTTAAGTATTTGGCTTAAGTGTAAGTATTTTGACCTGCTGAGCCGTCCAGCCTGCCCTCTTTCAAGCTTTTCTCTCGCTCAGGGTGTGCTCACCCTCACACTAATCGCACTAATCGCACTAATATTGGAAAACAGGGATGGTTCATGCAGCAGTTGACCAGGCTCTTTGGGCAGAACCACCCATACAGGCTGACTTGTGGTCTGATATTATGGAAGTGTCCTGCGTATGGTTGACACCGTGAGTCCCAGTGTGTTTGACAGCCAGCCCATGACTTCCCAGAGCTGTCACGGACTGTCATTTGACAGTCCACAGAAGAGTGGCGAATGTGCCTTCAGGTCTCACCTTGACTTTGAACCAGAAATCAAAGACAAGGTAATGGAATCAAAGGGGCTCTGAAATCACACATACGCACACTCACGCACACACACAATTGTGAAAAAAATCATTCCTATTGAATGGGGAAACTCAGCAACGTATGACTAGCAATCAAACCTGCCAGCATCATCTGTGTTAATTTAAAAGATTTTAATCACTTTTTTTTTTTTTTTTTTTGGTTTTTCAAGACAAGGTTTCTCTGTGGCTTTGGAGCCTGTCCTGGAACTAGCTCTATAGACCAGGCTGGCCTCGAACTCACAGAGATCCGCCTGCCTCTGCCTCCCGAGTGCTGGGATTAAAGGCGTGCGCCACCACCGCCCGGCTCGTGAAGGCTAATTTAATGGCTGAATCACTATTATTAGGAAATCTCTGCCTTCAAGGCCAGTCTGGTCTACAGAACTAGTTCCACGACAGCCAGGACTACACAGAGAGACCTTTGTCTTAAGAAAAAACAAAAACAAACAAAGAAACAAAAGCAAAACAAACAAACAAACAACAATAAAACGTTATTCTGGATGTTTTTTTGTAAAATTGCTTTCTGGGTGAGATAAACATTTAATTTGATGAACTTTAAAGTAAAGTATATTTCCTTCCAGATGTGAGTGGCCCTACCTAACTGGTTAAAAGCCTTGAATGAACAAGGATTAACCTCTTCTAGCAAGAAGGCAATCTGTCAGCAGACAGCTTAGATTCTAACTGCAACTCTTTCTCGTATCTCCAGACTCTGCTGGTCTCCTTGATCAAATTCAGACTGACCAAGCCTCTGCAATCATGGGAACCAGTTTCTCTAAAACCTGTCTTTCTCCCTCTCTCAGCAATTTTGTGGTAGTTCAGTCACTGTTTTCAGTACAGACTGCACCTATTCTCTCTCTCTCTCTCTCTCTCTCTCTCTCTCTCTCTCTCTCTCTCTCTCTCTCTCTCTCTCTCTCTCTCCCCTTGTTTTGTTTCTCTGGAGAAGATGTAACAAAAATGTGGACAGACTATTTAAATTGTACTTGTGATTTACAATCCCTGCTTTAAAGGTAATTGAAAAGAAGGCGCGTTCTTCCTGCCAGTGCTTCTGCTGCAGCCTGTGAGAGAGAGCCAGTGGGGGTGGAGAGGTGGAGGAGCGCTGCGTAGAAGATGGGTGCATTCCAAAGACACTGCAATTGCTCTGGTCAGGAGAGGGTAGGAGAGAGTGCTGCAAGTTAGGAGGCCTCATGGCCTAGGGGAAGAAAAGCCCCGGCCGAGGGAAGCCAGGCACTGGGATTTGGCATCCTCTCTGCAACTGGTTGATATGACCATGGGCAAGCTGCTCGGTGCTCTAGTCTAGTTAACTTCTTGCCAGACCTCACCCTGACATTCTATCATTCCATGAAGGCTGAAATGTGCTAAAATTCTTTTAATTTAATAATTTATAAAAGCATAAGTTCATAGGGTGTTGTCTTATTTCTTTAATAGAAAATGGGCTCAATTTTTTGGCATGAAGTGGGCTCAATACCGTGGCAGAAGACAGGATCATTAGCTTTGAAGCCTGCATAATGAAAGTCTTAGCACTTACTTTAACCAATTTTCTTCCTTCCTTCTTTCCTTCCTTCTTTCTTTCCTTCCTTCCTTCCTTCCTTCCTTCCTTCCTTCCTTCCTTCCTTCTTTCCTTTCTATCTTTTTTTGTTTTTTGAAACATGGTTTCTCTGTGTAACAGTCATGGATGTCCTGGAACTGACTCTGTAGACCAGGCTGGCCTCCAATTCACAGAAATCCACCTGCCCCTGCCTCCTGTGTGCTGGGATTAAAGGCGTGCGCCACCACCGCCCAGCAATCAATTCTTTCTTACAGCTCTGAGCAGGCCCTTTGATTTTCACACTTATGAATTACAAATTCGTAACTTTTGATTGGTGTCACAGCTTTCTCTTAACACCCCATCCCAACATGGCATAATCCTGAAGGTATATCATATATCATATATATATATAATTTTAAATAATAAGAATACTAGTGCTTACCACCTCTAGAAGGTCAGGACCTTGAAAGACCAACTCTCTGTGTCCTGTTATGCAAAGTAACTTTTTTTCTTTTCATTTCTTCATATGTAAAACAACCATTGAATGTGTGCTGAGGTTGGGCCAACTGGAGAGGATCGCTCCTTTGTCAGCTTCGCCCGGATGAGAGAGAGCCATTTGCATAGGCTTGAATTCAGTTAGACTTGAATTTTGCCTGTCACTCTATTCTGTCTATAGAGCTCCAAAGGAATCAAGACCACTAGCTGGAAACACACAAGAGGGACCGGCTGCCTCACGCTCTAGCTCTTTCAGACACCAAGTCCACCCCCACCCTTCCACAAATCACAGCCCTAGAGTTTTAGGAGTCCTGGGCCCTGTGGAATATCGGCACAGGCCCTGTGGAATATCGGCACATTCCAAGCAGACCCCCTCTCCACAGTCCCGTCTTAGCGTCTACTATGCTATGCTGGCTGCAGGCCCTTACCAGTCCCCAGAATGTCTCACCAACTGGAGCTGACGTAGCGCTTCTGCTCTTCCTGGTACCCGCAGGCAGGCTTGGGCATTGGAAGGCTTGAGCGGCTGCTCAAAGTCTTCCTGAACGCAGATGCTTCTGCCTGGTTGCTAGGAAACTGTGCCTGGATGAAAATAGTTTTATAAACATCCTCATGTCTCCTCCCACGCACACAGTGGAGAGGTCGTATATTTGAGACCGACTGTGACCCTGGCCTTCAGTCGTTCATGTATCTTTTCACTTGGGTAGGCATAGGTGCACCAGCTGAATAATTAATCAGAAAGCTGAGAAAAGGAAGCCACTTCCCCCAGTTTTCATCTTCTCTCTCCTCTCTTTCTTTCCTTCTTTCTTCTTTCTAAGACAGCATTTGGCTACAATGGAGGAGTCAGCAGACCAGCAAGGATTGCTGGAGAAGCCAGTGGAACTCCAGCTCCTCCATACAGAGTATCCCAAGCAATTTCTTGGGGTGATTCTACCGAATGACTATGAACACAGAGCAGTGAAAAACCAGGGGAGCCACCACCTGGGGACACACTATCATGTGCTGGTTGGTTTTAGGCCAACTTGACACCAAATAGAGTCATTTGGAAAGAAGGAACCTTAGATGAAGGGTTGCCTTCTTCAGATGGCCCGAAGGCAAGTGCGTAAGGGCATTTTCTTGATTAATGATTGATTTAGGAAGACCCAGGCCCCTGTGGGTGGTGCCCTGCCTGGTCAAGTGGTTCTGGGTTGTATTAGTAAGTAGGCTGAGCAAGTCATGAGGGGAAGCCAGTAGGGAACACCCCTCCATGGTTTCTGCTTCAGTTCCTGCCTCCAGGTTCCAGCCTTGAGCTCTGCCCCTGGCTTCCTTCCATAATGGATTCTAATTTGCAAGGTATAATAAACTCTTTCCTCTGCAGGTTGGTGATCAGTGTTTGATGACAATAATAAAAATCAAAGTAGGACTTGTTCATCTGAACTAGTACATAGTGCACCACGGCTCTCCTGATGAGTGGTCCTCCTGCTTACACTGCTTACACACTTGTTCATCTGAACTAGTACATAGTGCACCACGGCTCTCCTGATGAGTGGTCCCCCTGCTTGCACACTTGTTCATCTGAACTAGTACATTGTGCACCACCGCTCTCCTGGTGAGTGGTCCCCCCTTACACACTTGTTCGTCTGAACTAGTACATAGTGCACCACGGCTCTCCTGATGAGTGGTCCCCATGCTTGCACACTTGTTCATCTGAACTAGTACATTGTGCACCACCGCTCTCCTGGTGAGTGGTCCCCCTGCTTGCACACTCTCCTCCTCTAACCCTTGTTTCCTTGCTGAAGGCTTGTAGAAGATTACTCTTTGTTCTCCTGAGAACACCTAAATGTCTAGTTGGGTATTCTGCCCCGGGGTTGGGATCCTGCTACCAACACCCATTCCTTTGTGTTTATGGTACTGAGAAGGGAACCTGTTCATTCTAGGTAAACACTGTACCCGTGAGCATTATAGCCACAGCCTACAGACGCTTCTATTAATCGTCACTTTCCTCTCTCTTGGTTATGCTGGGGCGTAAAACATCTTCCCTCATGAATAGCACAGTTCCTGGCTGCGGCTTCCTGATAACAGACTGAGAAAGATAATAAAAGAAAGGCTGGTATACAGCTAGTATGTTTTATACGACACAAGAGACTTCATGTGGAAATGAAGACCCGAAAAAACAGTGTTTCTTCTATGTAGAGTTTTGGAAGAGTGGACATAGATTCCATGATCTTGTAGTGATTCACTGGGAGACGTAAACCAAGCCTGCTTGCCCAGGTGCTTCTCTGCTCCTGTGTCACTGGCTCTCCTCCAGATCCGGGAGGCACCTCTCACCTGTGAAGTCAGGCTCTGCTTCCAGCAAGGATTGGCTGCTGTTGCTTGCTTTGGGGAGAAGGCAAAAGTGACCATCCTGTTGCTATTGCTTCCTCAAATGCCCATGTGCCAGGGTCCTCATTTCCCTGAAGAGTCCCATGTCACATTAAAGCTTACAGTAAAAAAAATTGTTTGTTTTCTTATTTTTGTTTTATGAGAGGGGCGTAGGATTGGTACAGAATAGATATCCTCTCCTATAACTGTATGGTTGTGTTTTAAGCATTTGAATATGGTGTGCGTGATGATAGGGCACCACACACCCATGTGTTCATGCCCTCAGCATATAGCAAACCATTATATATGAATGGAACAGTTTTTCACAAAAAGATATAATTTTATAAGCTTCTCTGTGAACTGAAAGGACCAAACATTCCAGGGTAATAAGGAGAAATAAGCCTGCTCTAGGATTTAGACATGTCTGGGCACATCAGGACCAGTCTGGAGGATCAGAGACTGTTGGAGCATCCAGTTTCTATTTGCATCAGTGATTCCGGACTTGGCTGTGTGTTCCACCTGAAGGACTTTAAAAACTCCCAGAACCATTACTTTTGAATCCCTGAGGGTGAGATCAAGCCATCATATTTCTTCAATTTCCCCAGGTGCTCTGATGTACAAAGAAGGTTGACAATCGTGGATGCACGTGGGAGACTGGGGAGCATCCAGGGGTAGGGACTTCATCACTACACAACTGCACTCTCCTTCAGCTGGGGAAGTGTTCCTCATTTCCTAAAAGAGACGACGAATGACGGGAGACAAGGCTGTCACTGAAACATCTTAGAGGTGACCCCTTCCCCATGTTTAAAAAATTAAAATATAATTATATCATTTCTTCTCTTCCTACTCCTTCCATGCCTCCTCCCTCATGAATTAATGTCCCCTTTCTTTGTTTTGCACACACACACACACACACACACACACACACACACACACACTGTTTAGTGTTACTTGTATGTATATGATTTGGTACTGGATAACCAATTTACCAGTAGAGGGCTCCTCCCGAGGGAAGACTATCTCTCCTGCTGTCTGTATTCCTTACCTGCCTGTAGTTCTTTGTTTTTTTTTTTTGGGGGGGGGGGCATGAGTTCTCCTCTTCCATGTTAGCATGTCTGGCAACATTGCACTGCTTCAGATCTTGTCTCAGTATCATAGTATTGAGGTATCGTGGCTGAAAATACTCTGTTATTTCTAGGAGACACAATCCCAAATCATATTTCCTGGTCCTCAGGCTCTTACAATATTTCTGCCCCCTCTCCCATGGCCTTCTCTGAGTCCGAAAGTCCAGGAGTTGTACTGTAGATGTATTCACTGGGGCTGGGAACCCTATGATCAATTCGTCTTTGCATTTTGACCAGTTTTGGTTTCCTGTGATGGTCTCCGCTGCAAAGAGAAAGTTTTTGTTTGTTTATGTGTTTCCTTTCACACTCGTGTGTGTGTGTGTGTGTGTGTGTGTGTGTGTATGAGAGAGAGAGAGAGAGAGAGAGAGAGAGAGAGAGAGAGAGAGAGAGAGGAGAGAGAGGGAGGGAGGGAGGGAGGGAGGGAGAGAGAGAGAGGGAGGGAGGGAGGGAGGGAGGGAGGGAGGGAGAGAGAGAGAGAGAGAGAGAGAGAGAGAGAGATACATCCTTATCTGTGATTATAAGTATTTAGAATGCAGCTAGGATTTAGTAGTGGCAGAAAGTTCTCGTCTAAGGTCAATGATCTCACTAGTCTATTGAGGATATTAGTTGAAGATGTGTTACATTCGTTTTTGCTGTGAAATATTTGTTTAATGATACAAATATGTGTTGCATTCTTTTATGTTGCATTTGTTTAATTCTGTGAAACTGTGCTACTTTGCCTTATTGGTCTAAAAACAGAGCTGAAGAGGCAATAGCTGGACAGGAGAGAGAAATAGGGGGGTCTGGCCTGCAGAGAGAATAAATAGAGAAGAGAGGAGCAAAGGAGGAACAAGAAAGAGAAGCAGAGGAGGACATCAGCGGTTAGTCATCCACACAGCCAGCCACGGAGTAAGAAGTAAAGAAAGATAAATAGAGTAGAGAGATGTAAAAGCCCTGAGCCTAAAGGTAGGTGGGATAATTTAAGAAAAACTGACTAGAAACAAGTCAAGCTAAGACTAGGCGTTTACAAGAAAGAATAAGGTTCTATGTATTTATTTGGGAGCTTGGTGGCAGACCCCCAAAAGAGTTAAAAAAAAAAAAAAAACAAATCAAATAAAAAACCAACCAATTACATCAGCCCCAGGTAGTTGGCTAGATTTCTAGTACCAGGCATGATTCCCTTCCTATCAAGTGAGTCTTAAGTCCAATTAGACAACTGTTGGTTACCATCAAGATATGAATCCTTAGAATATCTTGCCTTGCTGGCCATTGTTGTGAGTCATAGGTGATACAGCTGGGTAGGGCTTAATGGTTGCCTCCTTCCATTGGTAGCTTGCATAGAACCTTCTGGTAATGTGAAAACTAATCCTCAGGGAGGAGGCTCTCAGGCCAGAGCCAGCTGGAATCCTGAGTTCTGCACCTAAAGTGAAGCCTGGCTTCTTTAAACTGCTTCCAACCTCTGCGAGACAACCAAGGCAGCAGCAGTAGCCTGTACTGTTTGGGGAGTCTCTTGGACAACCTTGACCTACAACTTGAAAGGGGGTAATTCATGCCTGATAGTGGGATTTCTGTCAGATAGTCTATGGTTCTTGGAGGGGAGCACTGTTCATGCAAATGGGATGACTTCATTTAAAAATTACACACACACACACACACACACACACTGGAATGTGTTACTTGTCATTTTAGATAAATAAAGAGTAACATGATTCCTTAACCTTTTCAGACATCCTCAGTGTTACTTCCCCTCTTTCTTCCCTTTCCTTTTGCAAAATTTCCATTTTTCTTCCATAGTAAAAGCCACCCCGTTTTTCCTCATTTCCCCCTATATACTAAGTTCTTTTTGTTTGTCTGGTTTGGTTTCTTCTCTATAACCCTAGCTGTCCTAGAACTCACTCTGTAAAGCATGCTGGCCTTGAACTCACAGAGATCCATCTGCCTCTGCCTCCGGATTGGTGGTATTAAAGGTGTGCACCACCACCACCCAACTCATATACTAAGTTCTTAAAAGTAGGATTTTCGTTTTATTTTTAAAGTAAAAACTTCAGACTTCAGAGATGTCAATTCAGTGCTTGCCGTTCAAGCACGTGGAGTTTGATCTCCAGTATCGGCATAAAAACTGGGCGTGTAATTCCAACACTGGGGAGGCAGAGACAGGGGGACCTATATGGCTTGCCTGGCAGCCAATCTAGCCAAATTGGTGAGATCTGCGTTCAACGAGTGATCCTGTGTCAAAAGATAAGGTGGGGGAATGGTAGGATGACTCAGCAGATGAGAGGGATTGCCACTGGTCCTGATGAGCGCAGGCCCTGAAACCCACAGTAGCAGAAAATTGTGGTGGTGGCGCACACCTTTAATCCCAGCACTCAGGAGGCAGAGGCAGGCGGATCTCTGTGAGTTTGAGGCCAGCCTGGTCTACTGAGCTAGTTCCAGGACAGGCTCCAAAGCTACAGAGAAACCCTGTCTCGAAAAACCAAAAAAAAAAAAAAAAAAGAAAGAAAAGAAAATTCACTCTCAAAATTTGTGCTCTGATTCCCACACACACTGTGGCACCTGTGCACCCACGCTTACACTTATGCACACACCGCACACAAATATAGTAAATAAAAATTTTAAAACAAGGTGAAGAGCAAATGAGGGAGAAACCTCAATTGATGCCGACCTCTGGGCTTACATTCGTACAAACATGTGTGTACACACATGATCATGTTCACAGACACACAAATAAATAACTTGTTCTTAGGTAAGAAAACAATGATAACTCTTAAAGCAGGGTCTTCCAATTCTTCCAACAGAACTAGTAAATCATTTTCTAAAGTCCTTCTGTCATTTGTTGTTTAAGGAAGGTATTTGCAATGGATGATTGTCCTCTAGGTTGGCTGAGAAACAAGATCCGACTTGTCTCTGCTGTTGCTATGTTTTGAAAACGTCAGTGACCATAAGGAGATGTGTTAGCCATCTTCTCTGCATGCCTCTTGAAGACACGCTCCTTGTCTTACTTATTGATTGCTTGTTTCAGCTCTCACGCACATATAAATGGTGCCAAGTGTAAGGTGAATGTTAAGTGGGGCCAGTGGACCCACACCCTGTCCCTTTTCCCTCCCCCCCCCACTGCAAGATAGATTTAGCTCATTAGATATACCAGCTATTAAAATACTGAAGGTAGAAATGTTACGTTGTGGAAAAATGGATGCTTGAAAATATCACCTATTGGATTTAAATACA